GAAAAGGGATTCGAAATCTCTTGCTCCACCTAAAGGCTGGAACCTCATACAATGAGATAAAGATCTCAAAACCTCACCGTTTTATCTCTAAGTCACCTTATCGGTAACTAAAATGTAAAGACAGGTTGGTCCAAGTATCCTGGGTTCCAGGCAGGGATTCTGCTTCTCCCAGTTCCTGAAAAGACCCTCAACACTAAGTCTCTGACTTTTAAACACACCCCACGGCCGGCCACTTTTACACAGTGGTAGCTTCTAAAAAAGACACTTTTCTTTTCTGACATGAGTGTAGCATTGTTGTTTATGTTTAAACTCCCATTCTGTGGCAAAATTCTAACAGACTGTGTCGTGTATGTATGCTTACACATGTGGACATAGGGTATGCCCATGTGAAGGTATATTTTTACCTGTGAATATGCACTGCATGGTTGTGCATTTCTCCACAGTGTGCATACCTGTGTAAGCCCATGGCACATTTATGTGTATGTGGACTGGGAGGCATTGTTCATTTGCCCGATTTATGAGTTGTAACACCTTCATCCTAGAAGTATATGGGCAATGGGAAGCTTTCCTAAGTGAAAACTAGAATTTAGTCTGAGATGCCAAGGGCACCTCCCCTGTGCAATGCACATCCTACCTTGGTATCTTTGTACATAATGGCTCTTCTGCTGGAATACTCTCCCTTCCCCTCTCAGATTTTACCTACTTTATTTCTACTTTTCAAATCGTAGCTTGGAGTGCATACTCACAGCAGCCTTCCATGTCTCCCCACACTAGATCAAACCCGTTATGCTATTTCACACTCCCCATTTTTTTCTCCATAGCATTTATCATAGTTTGTAATTACACATGAGCATTCTTCAGATAGAGTTTGAACAGTTCCTGCTATCAGATCATAAACTCATGAGGGCAGGATCATGTCCCTTTTACTCACATTGAATTCCTAATGTTGAAGACTGAGCACAGTGTCGATACCCAATTTCTGAACTTAGAATTGCAAGAAAGATAAAATCCAGGATAAGCAGAATTTGTGGCAATGAAAGCAGCGCTCTGAATCTAGCCACTGGGGTCAGTAACTTTGTTAACATGATGAGATTAGGGAATTTTAGAACTCACCCCAAATCCTGCTCTATCACTATCCACTCAGGGATCAGCATCGAATTCAGAAAATGTGAGTCACCTGTAGTATCATCTTCAGGAGCAATAAAAATAAGAAACTGTGACTACTTTCACTTTTCAACCACGCTGGTGGTAAGAAGCCCCAAAGAACAGGATATATGGTGGCACCTCCTACAGGACACAAAATCGAGGGGACCTCTGGAAGGACACCTAGAAAGCTATCCCAGCTTGCCCTCCTCTGTTCTCTATGCCTCTGAATCTTCTACTTTAAACCCTTCAGTTTCCCCTCAAGCACTCCTATCCATGCAGAGATAACTCTTCTCCCATATGCTCCCCTTTTCTCATAGCCCACAAAGAATCAGACTCAGGCAGCAACTGGCACTGGAGATTGGATGTAATTGTATCTCAAGACAGGCATATGCAGAGCTCAGACTAGGGTCCCACAATGGCACAGTGGCAGGGATGGTTAGGTCATTCACAGCACCCCCACCCTGTTTCTGGCTCTCATTCTTCCTCATGGACTCTGGATCAACATTGTCTCCGCAGTAAAGGGCATCATAGTAAATTTGGTTCATAGTGCAGCTGCATTCAAGAATGGGGGAGCTGGACAGTGGAATATGGGGGAAAGGGCACAGAGGAAAAGATACGGTCTGAATAACTCCGGCACCTACGACTGCCTCAGCTTCTCCACCGCAGCATCCACGTCGCCCCCTGTGGCAATGAGAGCCTGGAGATTGGCTTCTGGATTCAGAAAGCCCATGGCCCTCAGTCGTTCTAGCTGCACCCGAAAGTGAGTCTCGGGCTGTAGCTGAGGAGAATTGGCACTCGCTAAGGCTTGCAGTATCTGGAGGAGGGGAGTGGAATGGAGGCCTAGCTCCACAGAGCCCTGTGCTGGGGGAACCTCAGGAGTTGGGGTTGGGGGAGGATCCTCAGGCACAAAGGCACCCTCTCTAGGCTCTGTACCTCCTGCCATATTTCCTAGCCCTGCTAAGCAAGGCATGAACCAGAGTAGGAGGTGAGGTGCTTCAGTAGCCAGAACCTGAAGCCCCTGCTCAATCTGCAGCAGGGCACGCATGGCACGAGGGTTTGCCATGGCTGCCTGAAGGTGCAGCAGCAGTGGCAGCTGCTGGCGCATCTCCTCATGCAACTGTGGGGCCTGATTCATGCTGGCTGGCCTCAGAGGTGGTGGCAGCCAGGCATGCTCAGGGATTCCAGGGGTAGCCGCCATGGGGGAAGGTGGTGAAGAAACAAATGGCGCCCTGTTGGCAGCAACCCCCAACCCTGAGACAAGATCAGGCATGCTGGTGTTGGGCCCAGTGGAGCCATTCCCTGTGCCATCTTGGCTTCTGTTTTGTCTGGCACTACCCTCTGTGGGGTATCTCAGGAACCCTGGGGAGGAGGACTTTCCTTTGATCGTTACCGACTCCTTGGGGAGCGGTTGGCCTGACTCAGGTTTCTGGGATGAAGGTGAAGTTGGGGGAACTCGGTTTCCTGGTGGTGGAGCTTCTTGGCTTGGGCTGAGGGTGGAGGCGATCCCCTGCAGGTAGGTTCCTAGGGACTGTGGAGCCTCATGTAATTGCTGGAGATAGTCATAGAGCCCTATACTACCTAGAATGTTGGGAACCCTGTTTCTTATTTCAGATACATCCTGGTCCCCAGGCTGCCTGCCTCGTCTGCCACCTGAGCCTCCATATGTGGAAGCCCAGGGGTTGGGAAGAGGGTCACAATTCTCTGTCCTTGAAGGTTGGCTGCTGTTGGTGGTAGCATTAGCGGTAGTGGTAGCAGCAAAGGGATTGCCACCAAACTGCTCCTGTACTGCATTAAGCATTGGGTCCATAATATCTGTGTACATGGTCCGAAGCACATTGTAGCCACCAGGGATGCTCTCCAGGTTACTGAGCGCCCGGTCCTGACTACGCATCATCTCTTGCATCATGGCAGGGTTACGTAGAAACTCCAGTGTCTGCCGCATGATTTCAGGGTTGTTGAGAATATGCCCAATCTCAGGGTTGTGCTGGATCAGCTGCTGCATATGGGGGTTGTCAAGAACCAGCTGGCGCACCAGGCCTGTGTTGGACAGAAGACCCTGGACAAAGGGGTCATCAATGACCTGAGCTACAAACTCAGGCACAGATACATGCTGCCACATCAGTGAGCTTGGCTGGTCAGGGAAACTACCAGAGGTCAGACCCAGCCCAGTGAGGCCCGTGAGGACACCTAAGCTAAAGGTGGGTGGCCCATCTGCTGGGTAAATGGAGCTGGGCTGAGGGAGAGACCCCGGGCTTGGGGCTGAGGTAGGGACTGGAGCAGCTGGGCACTCAGTGCCCATGGTACGGCGCTGCATCTTGATGACCAGGTGAACAGTGAGGCCATCTCGCACTCCACACTGTGCCAGTGAGTCGGGGTCCTTGAGGATTTTGCCAGCAAAGATTAGGACCAGCTGATCAGGGTGAGCCTTAAAGCGTTGAGAGATCTCTTCCTTCAGCTGCTGGATGGTACAAGTGTCTGTAACTGAGAAATCCTCCTTGTCCTTGGGCGTCTTCACTGTCACCTTGATGAAATGGGAATCCTGGACTGGTGCTGGGCTGCCTTGTGGCGGGGCCTCTCCACTTTTGGCCATGGTAGGCAGCAGGAAGCCCAGGTCTGTGGGGACACAGCTGGGGGATGGGAATGGGAGACCAAGATCATCCTTTTGGGCAGTGGTGAAAGTAGAAAAGGTGAGCACAAAGAGGGCCTGGGATCTCAAGGTGAGGGAACTCGAGAGTTCACAGGGAAGGGCTCTGAGTTCCTTGGGATAGTATGCTTTGGGATGATTATGGGTTTGAGAGATGCTGGGGTCAGGGGAGAGACATCAGAGCCCATGGAAAAGAGGTCTACAGTTGATGAGTGAAGGGGCAATGGCAGGAAGAAGGGCCCGGTTTGGGGAATACATACCAATCAGCTGTGACCCCGTCCTTCCTCTTAAACAGGACTCCAAACCACCCTCATCTTGCTGAACAGCCACCCCTGAAGCCTTCTGGGCCGGAACCCACTCCATCAGGTCACCTCTGTGACCTCATGACTGACATCACAACCTCATACAATGGATTCTTGAAATTTCTCCAAGGTGTCCCAGATCCCTAGGAACTCGGTCTCCCCCAGCCTTTGAGGTTTCCACTTCCATTATCCCTTTTTCATAGTGCGGGGCCTGGGCTGACCCTCCTTCTTAGGCCGAGAGTTCTGCTTTCATACATCCCAGTATGTGGTATGTGGGGACTCACGTGGATTAGATTATTTAAAAAGACTCCTTAATCTTTTGTGTCCTCATTAAGATTCAAATTCAGCTACTCTTCTTGGCATCTTAAGTTCTTATCTTTTCTCTGCTTCAACATTAGCCATGAGAATTTTACATTTTTTCATAGTATTGACTTTCTGATGGGCAGGAGCTAGAGTATGGGAGAGGGGTCAGGGATGATATGAAATTTTTATTTTACTTTAAAAAAAAATCATTATCCCCCAGAAGAACTCAAAGAATATATATTTATTGATTTTTTTAAAAATTGGAAATATGGTTGTTAAAATTAAGAGTTCAGTTTTACAGATATGAGATGTCTATTTTATATCCAAATGGAAATGTGGAAAGGTGATTCAGTACCATGAATCCAGCGTTTATCCACACTGACAAAAATATTTAGAATCATGAGATTGGAGAGTGTAGGAAAAGGATAGAGGTAAAAAGACTGAGTCACGGGCACTGTAATATTTGGAAGTCTGGAAGATTAGATGAATTCAGCAAAGGATATTTAAAAGAAAGCATTAAGTCAAAAGAGAGAGACAGAGCAGATTAAAAAGAGTTTCAAAAAGGAGAGAGTAACCAAATGTGTCAAAAGAAGCTGAGATGTCGGTAGGATGGAGACTGGGAATTGATATTGGATTTGACAAGAAAGAATTAGGACCATGATAAGACCAGGTTTAGAACAGTGATGGGGGCAGAAAACCTGATTGGAGTGGGTTTAAAAGCAAATGGATTAGAAAGAAAGTGAATCCAATCAGAGTATTGTAAATCATAAAAAAGGATGGTGGCTGAATGAGAACGTAAGGATAAAGGCTTTTTGTTTTGTTTTTTTCTTAAGATGAAAATATTAAATTATATTTTTATTCTGATGGGATAAAACCAATGAGAAGAAAAAAATGATGTAGGAGAAAGAGAAAACAATTGCAACAGTAAAGTGTTGAGTAGATAGATTAGTGGAGAGTTGATTTAGGAGCATGGATAGTTTATTCAATACAACAGGCTAGAGGGAACAATGTATGGGTACAAAGGCAAGTAAATTGGTCGATTTAGTGATGCACATGGATGTAAGTCACTTTTGATCACTTTTGTCTTCTTGTTGGAATAAGCAAAACACCAGCCGTGGTCGAGAATAAAAAAGGAAATGGTGAAGGTTTGAGAAGAGCAGAAAAGGTATAAAATGTTCATCTCGAAGAATGTAGAAGTGAACTGACTAGGGCATTGGATCTCCAAGTGTGGTCCCCAGACCAGCAGCATCAGCATCACATGGAAACTTGTCACAAATACAAAATATGGGGCTCCAGTCTAGACCTACTGAATCAGAAACTTTTGAAATGGAGCTCAGAAATCTGTGTTTTGACACACTATCCAGTGTGATTCTGATGCAGATTTTGGTGAGAAATATTGAAGTAGGAAAATGTAGTAAGATTACTAGCAGATCATTTAAGGTTTTTGGTAATCAGTTTAGATGAGACTACTCAGCACAATTGTCTGCTTTTCTCTGCTCACATAGAGATTAGGCAGAGTTAGATATGCCATGGTGAGTATTATGCCAGAATAATTATATTGATAGATCACGGAGTAGTACTGAAGCTAGAGAACTGTGGTCAGGAAGCAAAAGAAAGTACAAGTAGGACACCTTCCTCACTTCTAAGTCCACCAGGAATGAAAGAAGCAATGAGCACTGCCAGAGAAGCAGCCTCCTTAGTGAACGGTGAAATTGCAGTTACAGAAAATAGGTGAGGGAACATTTTGAAAGTTGTAGGTATAATGGTTTTGCTGTTGATAAAATATAAGTTCTAAACAGTAGGGTGGAAAGTTTTGGAGAATTGATGATGAGTGGGATTCTGATTCAAATGAGAGATTTTCAAGCATATTGGGATAAAGATTAGATGACCCGGAAACCTTGGACTTTTTATGTAAACTGAGGCAACCAATGTATAAGCCTTAATTGGATTAATAGAGATGGCTCACTGGGAAGGGAAAAAAATCAGTTTTAGCTATAATTTCTTTATTGAGATGTATCTTTTTGTGGTGGAATGGGAATCTTTGGCAGTATGTTTGCTAGACACACTTGGAGTTTTGCTCTTGCCAATGCTTTTGTCAAGGCTCTTGCCAATGCTTTTGTCAAGGCTGGAGGACAGGTGGTCTGTGAGGAACACACACATCTCTGTGGATCCCCTTCGCAGTCCAGAATCAAACACTTCTCACCACCTCCACTGCTCCCTCACCAGTCCCAGACTCTACTATTTTCTACCTGCTCTATCACAGAAACACATACTAGTTTTACTGCTTCCAGCTTTTTCCTTTACCATAGTCTATTACCCCCACAGAGGCCAGACTGATAAATCAAATCACTTCTTTCTTTTGCTCAAAATCCAGCAGTGATTTTCATAGTAAAATCCAAAGTCCTCACCAGACTTACAAAGCTCTTCAAGATTCCTCTGATGTCTTCTTCCCACCCCCACTCCCATTTTTTTGGTCACTCCATTCCAGCTACGCCATTTCCTTGTTATTATTCAAAAACAAGAATACTGCTACCTCAAAGCCTTTTATTTTTTTGAAGGTAGCCTTTTCTGCCTTGAACATACTTCTCTCAGAAAATTGCATGTGCACCTCTCCCAATTCCTTTTGATTTCTGCTCAATGGCCACATTTTCAGAGAGGACTTTTCTGTTTATTCCCTGTTAAAAATGGCTTAAACTGCTGCATTTTTCATCAAAGCACTTATCACAACCTAACACGTATATAAGTTGAATATTGTTTGTATCCCCACAAAAAGGAAGTAAACTCCATAAATGATCTTTGTTTTATCACTGATATTTCTTTAATGCCTAAAACAATATTTGACTTATTAAATTATGGCAAGAGCTTGATAAATTATTTAATAATTAAGTATTTGAACCACAATTCTTTCCATAGCAATTGGCTGAGATACTCGGTGAGGCAGGAAGAAGAGGAGATAGGGCTTTGGTTAACTGCAGAAAGCATAAGCAACACGCAGGAGCTATGCTAAGAATGATATTGTTGGAAATGTTGAGCCTCACGGAGACCTGGGTTTTTTGCGGCTAGAATGAAAGGTGGCAGCAGCTATACCTCTCTGTGCTAAGAGATAATGATAATAGTGCAGCAAAGCCCTATGATCGTGGAAACGGCAGTTATTAAGAAACTCCTACAAAGATGAATACTCCTTAAGACTTGACTTAAATGTGGGTCTTTTCCCACTCTGACTCACCAGGTTTTTCTTCTGCTGCTTTTAAACTTGAACATTTTGGATTTGAAGAACCAAGAAAGTATTTACAATTAAATATCTGAGTCTATCTGTAGTATTTTTCCCTTCTGTATGTTTTGTCTTCCTTATATGTGGGTCTGTTTATGTATCTCTAAGTATTTATGTATATCTGTGTACACACATGACTGTATTTTTTGACTTTATGTGCCTATATATGTGAACCTTCAGCCATGTGAACTTGTGTATGTGTACATACTTATGTATGTTCTTGAGTATGTGAATGTGCTATGGTATCGTACATGTGGATCTCTAGTGTACAACTATGATTCTCTATATTAATATATATGCAAATGGTGTATGTGTGTGTTCGTGTATGTAGGTAGGTAAGACAGAGACATCACACACAGATAGTTGCCTTTTTGTGAAAGAAACAAAGCCAAACTTCAGATGGGAGCAAGTGGGTGTAGCCATTTTATTGACAGATCTTCCAGCCAAAGCCAATGATCTATGATTCAGTAGAGAAAGCATTTGTTGATTTCTTCTACTCCGAGATTTCTTCTGGCTGGAAGCATCAGAAGAGGAGGAAAAGGCAGATGAAGTGGTCAAATGAGTCAGCATGTAGGTTAAAAGCAAACAGGTAGGCATGATGTTTAGAACCCCTGGGATCTCTTGAGCTTAAGAATAGCAGCGTTGGTGTCCCCCTTGGTGGCAATGAGTGCCTGCAGATTGGCATGGTGGTCTTCAAACCCCATGGCCTGAAGAGATTCCATTTGCTTGCTAAAATGAACCTCAGGGGCTTGCAGAAGATGAGAAGGCTCTCCAGCTAGGGACTGTAGCCTCTGCAGGACGGCTCCAGATTTGTGGCAGCACTCAGGCCCTTTGGGCTCAGCCGTATCTGACACATCCCAGGCCCAGGACACTGTGTCAGGGTAGCTGCAGCTGGGGGCAGGAAGCCAGCCCAGACCCCAGAGGTAAGGTGCAACCCAGGGCAGAAGTACAGGAGCCTCAGTGGCCAGCAGCTGCAGACCCTGTTCAATCTTCAATATTGCTTGTGATGCCTTAGGATTGGCTAGGGCTATAAGCACATCAGAAAGCTGGGTCTGCTGCAGGAAGGTTGGCAGCTGCTGCTTCCACTGTTCACTCAGCTGGGGCATACTCATGAACATCATCTGGGCTGCCAGGTAGGGGTTGTTCAAAAGCAACTGCATTATGCTCTCTGTGATCTGGGAACTAATATGCTCATCTGACAGCTGGAGATCATCCTCTAACCTCACATCAGAGCTATCTACAGAGACGGTAGCATCTTTGTCTTCTCCTTGGGGCTGCTGAGTGAGCTCTATGCTAGGTAAGGCTGGAACCTCAGCTGGCTGCTGGATGGAATTAGCGGCAGTATTGGCCCTAGAAGTATGGTTCAGCTTTTGGGAGGTAGCATTGGCTGAGGTGATTGAAGATAAACCGCAAGAACTGGTATAGATGATTCGGGTTGTAGGGAGCTGTGGGGACTGGTCCTGCTTTTCCTGGGGTGATGATGGAGATGGGGGTGAAAACTGAACTTGTTCCGGCACTTGTTCTCCCAGGAGAGCTGTGAAAAGGTTGCCCTTAAAGAGATCTTGTGAGCTGTTGAGCATCTGGTTATTGGAATCAGCATAGCTCTGGCTCATGATACTATCCCCACCTGGGATTGTCTCTCCTCCCAGGTGTGATGGTGGATTCAATGGATGCTCGAGATTTGGTGCAGGCTGCTGGATCTGCATGATCTCTTGAATCGTGGCAAGGTTCCTGGCCAGCTCCAGCATCTGCCATAGAATCTCAAAATTGTCAAGGCTGTGTGAGACTTCTGGGTTCTGCTGCATCAATTGTTGCATGTCTGGGTGTTCTGAGATTACCTGTCTCATGAGGTCTGTGTTGGACAGAAGTTGCTGGATGCTAGGATTCTCCAGCATCTGTGCTATGTGCTCTGGACTATCCACTTCTAGGTGCTGGGTATGCACTTGGGGTGCATCAGGCTGCACGAAGGGGGCTGATTCCACTGGGGTATGACTCACACCAGCAGGTTGGTATAGCCCACTGCTGTTTCCTTCAGTGTTTCTGTCCTGGTAGCATGGCCCACTGGTTGGCTGGTTCTGGGAGGAATGGGCCAGAGATCTAGAGCCCTGTTTGGACCTGATGACCAAGTGGATGGTGTGGCCATCCAGGATGCCCTTCTGACTCAATGTGTCATGGTCTTTGAGAAGACGGCCCATGAAGACCAGCACTAGTTGGTCCATTTGGCATTTAAAGTAAGCCGATAGTTTCTCCTTGAACTGCTTCACTGAGGTGTCATCAGCTATCATAAAGTCTTCTTGCCTGTCAGGTGTCTTCACTATCACTCGAGTGACACTCAAAGAGACATTCTTGTCTGCAGGCAAACCCGAAGGACTCCCAGTCTGAGCCATCCTGGGTGTTCGAGAGAAAATATTCAGCATGGACCTTAGTGGGTGGGCAGATAGGAAGCAGGTAGAGGCAGGGGCAAGAGGGGTGAGGGCAGACAGATGGTTCCACTGGCCTCTTTCTCAGGTGTTGTGTTCTCAGGCCACAGGCTAGCTTCCTTGTTGCCCCAAAAGGGGTGAGTGACCAGGTCAGGGCCAGGTATTTTGCAATGTTCTACCCCCACCCCAGTTCTCCAGATGTGGCCCAGCTGAGGCTTGTTGTGGCTACTGATTCATACTTAGTGCAAGGTGGGCTAAGTGGAGATGGCTTTTTCCCAGGGCTGCCCCTCCCCTTGCCCCACCCACCAGGAGCATAACCTCTTCAGAAAAGGGATATTGTGATGTTAACTGTGGCCTCACAGTCTCTGCCAGGACTAACTGAGAAAGAAGGACATATTTGGGGGTTCAAGTCCCCATTATGAAACAAAATAAGATAATTTCCCAGAAAACTGGAGACAATGTTCTCAGGATGGAACTATTAAATAAAATAAAATAAATTA